GATTTGTCAACTGCGATGTGTTTGAGGGAGACGACATCATAAAATCAACGAAGTGTTTTCCAATGCTTTTTAGTTGCATAGGTAGTCTTGTAGTTCAAACCCAAAATTTATACTTTCAGCTTTCATTTGTATTGGGCTGGCCACCTGAAGACCACAAAATGGAAACGTGGTTTTGGATTCTTGGCTGGTCTCTTTCCATCCTGTCCATGACTGGAAATGGCTTTATTATTTTCCTTGTTTGCAGAAGGTGGCGGCTTCGAAACAAAACCAACGCGTTTGTCGTTTCTCTCGCAGTGGCAGACTTCTGTGCTGGCTGGAGTGCTTTTCCACCGCTTTTCGTCTGCGAGGAGATAACCGGATGCGACCCTACGGCCTTCATAGCCAGCGGGGTGGATTATTTCAGGTGGCTGTTTATGTATGCGTCTGTGACAAATTTGTGCAGTTTAGTCCTGGATCGCTACATTGCTATTGTGAGGCCGTTAAGTTACTTGACTTTTATGACACGCAGAAGCGTTTTTCAGATGATTTTCATGTCTTGGACCATTCCAGTTGTTGTCGTCTTTGCGTTTTTACTAAACTGGCTTGTTTTTGAAGAGATTGTGTTGTTTCAAGTGCTCATCTCAATTTTAATGGTATTTTTAGAAATCTTGCCGTCTTGTGTGTTAATTTTCTGCTTTGGATCAATGTACTATGTTGTTTATAAGCACGAAAGAGCCGCCCGCATCTTAGCAAACCAACTCCGCTTTAACCAAAGATCTTTGTTCAGAATCAAGGAAAAGGCTGCCGTGAAAATAATGGCAATTGTTATTGGTATATTCCTTCTAGCCTTCTTATTCGCTATACGATGTAGCTTCATACACATTTTGAAAGACGGAAAACCGTGTGATGATAAAGAATATAAAATTCCCCTTCTTGTATTAAACTCCGTTGTTAACCCCTTCGCTTATGCCGTCTTCAAGAGAGACATAAACATGGAGATAAAACGGTATATTTGCTGCGTCATTTGTAAAAAGAAACACCACAGTGATCCAATTTGTGAAAACAACTCTTTCATCCTGCGCAACTACAATATTTAACGCGTCAAACCAGAGCAGCATACCCTGAATAAACTCCTAATCAACCAGAATTTGTCTTGAACTATTAATATTTGTTCCGCGATCGGGTTAACAGTCAATAACTTAAGTATGAAATTATAATTAAGAATTTGCTTATGCTGTGTGCATGATGACAAGAGTAGATCATAACAATAAAAAAGGATCCTGTTAATCTCATCAAGTTTTATCGATTCTCGTTCCTTTTGGTTCATTTTTAACTGTTAAGGTTACTTTTGTCTAATTTTGCCAGTCTGTTTCATTTTATAGGTTTGCAAATCGGTCTGTCAGTCAGCCAGTCAGTTTGTCAATCGGCCAGTCAGTTTTCAGTCATTTCGTAAGTTACCTAGTCCATCAGTTAACTAAGTCTGTCAGTCAGTCGGTCAGTCAATCAGGGTATTCAGTCGGTCATCCGATCATTCAGTCGGTCATTCGATCATTCAGTCGATCAGGGTATTCAGTCGTTCATCCAATCGTTCAGTCGGTCATCCGATCATTCAGACGGTCATTCGATCATTCAGTCGGTCATCCGATCATTCAGTTGGTCATCTGATCATTCAGTTGATCAGGGTATTCAGTCAGTCATCCGATCATTCAGCCGGCCATTTTATCATTGAGTCGGTCATTCAATTATTTAGTTGGTCATCCGATCATTGAGTCGGTCATCCGGCGATCATTGGGTCGGCCATCCGGCGATCATTGGGTCGGTCATCCGATCATTCAGTCAATCATTCGATCATTCAGTCGGTCATTCGATCATTCAGTCAAACATCCGATCATTAAGTCGATCAGGGTATTCAGTCGGTCATCCGATCATTGAGTCGATCATCCGGCGATCATAAAGCCGGTCATTCGATCATTCAGCCAATCATTCAATCACTCAGTCGGTCATCGGATCATTGAGTCGGTCATAAGATTATTCAGTCGGTCAGAGTATTAAGCCAGCCACTCAGTCAGTCCTTAGTCTGAGCATTCAGCTTCTCAGTCAATCGGTCATTCAATCAGTCAATTGGTCGGTGAATTCAGCCAATCAGTCAGTCAGCCATTCAATCGGTTAATTAGTCAGAGAATTCACCCAGTCAGTCAGTCGGTCGGTCAGTCAGTCAGTCATACAATCAGTCTGTCGGTCAGAGTAGTGAAAGAAGAACGGCTATTTCGCGACGTAGATAAACGAAGTCAGCAAGCACTGCAATAAGCGATGAAAAAGTGAATTTTCTTGAAAGGGAAAGTTTCCTTAGGCTTTGACTACTTAAATGGACCATTTCCCGCTTTCTTGTCGTTTGGTTCTTTAGGATAATCTTGTTAACGATAACCTACACGACATCATAGTTTATAACCTCTTGAACAGTACCCTACTAATTCAGGCGGGTCTCATAGAGCCAGGCGTTCACTGATAATCGAAAAGTTAATTTGGTTTTAAAACGAATAATATGTTAATCCTGTTTAAGTTTCGAGCCGTTAAAGAATGAAGTCACAGATTTTCCTTGAACGAGTCTTGTCTACTTAAGAAATGAAATTTTATGCAGAACATTTTCATCTATTACGCTCCATTATATTGTTAGACATGCACCCACTGTTATACCACAGGCAGCCCAAGCTCCAGCTGTGAGATGATCATCTTGCGCAATAACAGTTAATGCGGAATTATAAGAGTTTTTATGGGAATATTTACGACCGCTCTAAGGAATAAAACAATACGTCAAATTCTCAATTAAAATATCTCACCTTACTTTCACAGCGTATCACTTGTTATCTGACTTCTTACTTTCATGAAAAGAAGCCATTTTAGCGATTTGTCCATTTCGAGGTTTTCAACGTACATAAGAAAAGCCCAAGGCTGAACACTCCATTTCCGAACGCCCGATCTGAGAAGCGAAAAATTCCAATGCAAAATGGCCGGGCGGCCACAAATCCAACGCAGAATCCAAGCACACATACTGCAGTTTCATTTCAATTCAATAGAAACTCAATCTTCCTTGTGCGACCAACGCTGTGCCGCAGTTTGCTTCGAAAATTTCCAGTTTAGAGGTTTCTAACAGGCCACGTACATATCAACCTTGAAACACGACCGTTGAAAACCAGCTTGGTAGCCCTGCCTTCTTTTTAAACTGAGCCTCACCAGGGACCACACCGTAACTTGGCATGAAGAAATTGTCTTAGCACCATGAGTGCCAAGACCTGGCGAACAGAACACGAGAGGAGTGCGGAGAAGCAAGAACCAAAAGCTCGTGGCACTGTAAAAAAAACGTGACGTTGGATTAAAGACAACCGCCAAACATTTCAAGTATAAGATTCGATTCACTAACACGCCAAACCGCTGTAAATAAAGAAAATTAATGTTTCTCTCAGGGTGTACTATGTTTTTTCACCCCTCTATAATTGTTTTGCGAGCGTATAATGGTTTTTTATCGACTGCCATGAAAACTTTTTAAATGACGGATTTTGCGAACCTTGCTAAAATTTTTAAATAACAGATTCTTTTCCTGTGTAGATCATTAAGCCATCGAGGGCTGTTTTTAACATGAGAAGTAATAAACTTCCTCCTGATATTTCCAGCTTTGCATTCATTGTTTACCTCACTTGCAGATGACAACGATGATAAATTTTCGAATTTTCGTAATACTATATTTCATAATCATCTCATTAGTGTTTGTCTTTAAAATGAGGCTACCTTTATTCTCCAATTTGTCGTTTAACGCCATGGTTATTTTTCCATCTTTAACTGTTCTTTTTCCCTTTAAATCTAAGTTTAACCGCTTGGCGGTTGTTCATTAGTTTTGGAAAAGTAGAGTTAGGTTAAGAAAGATTTTAGAGTTAGGTTGATTTGAAAAATGAGTAATGTTACTTTGGTGAAAAAGCGAACTTTAATTAGCTGTTTTTACATTTTTCAAGAAACAAGACTGAGCAACAACATAGTTTTTAAAGGAATGAGCTAGTTATCTCTTCATGCTAAATGACTCTGGTAAGATTTAACGGATGGAAAAAGTTTGCCTTAATTTAAATTTGCGCATGTTTTTAAAAGTGCAAGGAGGACTTAAAGTAAAAATTGAAATAGATTTTCAGAGATTCACTCAGCAGAGTATGTATACGATACAAATGAAGAAAATGTATCTAGTATTCTTCCGGAATAAATTGCGAGTGAGTAGAAGTGAGTTCTAGTTTTGATGTCAATTGAGATCAGCTGGTTTACAATAAGAAATAATTTTATCCTGCAGGCAAACAACCAACTTTTGAATTACTGCGTTAATCCTAAACCTTTAATATTGGACTAGCGCCGAATGTTTCTGAACGTTACTATTGTCTAATCAAACATTAAGGTCTCGAGAAAAAAACGACAACAACAACAACAACAACAACAAAGCCAAAAAAAGAGGAGAAAACAATTACATAGCGTGCGTAACTCCTTCGGTCTCACAATTCCATTATAAAATTTGTTATCACCATTTCATCATTATTTCTTCTCTGCCAGTGATCTCGTCATCGGCCTTCATATTATTACCTTTTTATCAAGCTGTCAGAGATAGGTTGTCAAGACTCTTATTTAGCTATTTTTGGATAGAAATTTCTCAATGTCAATGAGAAAGGTTGACGTCACTGCGGACATGATTATTTGTGCGGTTTTGGTCAATAAGCACAGATGCGCACACGAGTGTTTCCCCTCCGACGTGCCTCTCCTATGATTAGTTTCCTTCCTTTAGTTCATTGAGTTACCAAGTCTGGAATGGAGGATTGTGGGTTGACCTAACACTAAGAGCGGCAAGAATTCAGCCTGATTAATCAATTATGACGCATTTTTGAGGGACCTCCGAACAAGAGAAAATCACCAGATATTTTCAATGTTTGTTCTTACATTAGTTCAAGTCCTCAGCGAAAGTATATCCTCACAGCTTTCCACTCAACAACCACAAAATGGAAACTTGGTTTTCGATTCTTGGCTGGTCTCTATCCATTCTGACCATAACTGGAAATGGATTTATCATCTGCCTCGTTAGCAGAAGACGGCGGCTTCGCAAAGCCAACGCATTTATAGTTTCTCTTGTAGCGGCGGACTTCTGTGTTGGGCTCAGTACTTTTCCCCCGCTTTTCGTCTACGAAGAGATAATTGGATGTAATCCAAAGGCCTTCTTAGCGAGCGGGATGGATTATCTAAGATGGCTCTTTGGGTACGCTTCGGTTACAAACTTGTGCGGTTTAGTCCTGGAGCGCCACGTTGCTGTTGTGAAGCCGTTAAGTTACTTGACTTTTATGACGTGCAAACGCGTTCTCCAAATGTTTGTTATCTCTTGGACCATTCCAGTTATTTTGGTCTTGGCTTTTTTACTAAACGGGCTTGTTTTTAACGAGATTCTGCTGTTTAAAGTGCTGACACTGATTACCATTGTTTTTCTAGAATTCTTACCGTGTTCCGGTCTAATTTTTTGCTTTGCATCAATGTATTATATTGTTTACAAGCACGAAAGAGCCGCCCGCATCTTGGCAAAACAACTCCGCTATAACCAAAGATTTTTGCTCAGAATCAAGGAAAAGGCTGCTGTGAAAATAATGGCAATTGTGATTGGTTTGTTTCTTGTAACTTACTCGTTCGCTTTGCGATGTAGCTTTATTTACATTTTGAATGACGACGAAAAACCGTGTGATGGTCAGGAATATAAAATACCCCTTCTTGTCGTTTCTCCTCACCAAATCAATACAATATCAAACAGAAAGGTGATGAACATAAGAGAAAATATCAGCTAGGGGAGTATTAGTTGATTCAATACCAAATTCTCAGAACTGACATCATATGAGTTGTATGGCAAACAGTAAGGAGAATTGCTAATGAGATCTTGAGAGGGACATAAGGAAGGAGGTAAAAAGAGTTGTTAGATATAGAGAGAAACTCAGTTTTGAAAAGGCCTCGTCCACACTAGCGTGTTTACCTGACGTTCGATAATGTCTACTTTTTCCTTTGCATTTTGCTTGTCATCCACACTTAAACACCATATAACGCAGATGCAAAGTAGATATTCGGAAAAGGTTACACTGGTGGAGTATTTTGAAAATGCACCACGTTTGAAATGTTCCGTTTTCTGTGTGGACAGATGGAGAAGGAAGCTTTTAAAAAAGATGGCAAAGAAGTAGGTCAGATATTGTCGGGTGATTCTAAGCGGAAGATTGGTAAAAATGCATCAAAACGTTGGAGTTTTCAAAAGATAATGCAGTATAGAAGGCAGGTGAGAAAAAATCGATAAACACTTGCGTAGGTGAAGATGCTTTGCCTCGTTTAGGTAGAGTCTAAAAACGTTGTGATTAGTGTTGTCGCGACAGATTTTACGAAATATTTTATCATCAAGCTCACAACTATAATTTAAAGTGTAACCCACTATGAAGTGACCGAACACTAAGTTTAAAAGAGGAGAAGAGACTTGTTTTAACCAAATACGACTGATGATAACTTGTCGCTATATGCAAATAAAACTGTCTTCATAGGGAAGTTTCATCTTTCAATTAGTTAGCGTGTTGAAAGTAATGAAACGAGGTATGCAACGATTTTACTCCATATCGAAGAATGTAGCGGGTGATTTACTAACTGTTCGATGCTTTTGACAGTGGAAAGGCAAAAATGGAACTTTTGCCCTCTTTCTTTAGCCATCTATAAAATTAAAGGAGGAAAATATAACTCGCTAAAAATAGATAAGGTGGTTGAATAATTGTTAAGAGCGGCTGAATAAATTGCATTTTTGAGACTTAGCAATCAGCGAAAATACTATGAAATTACACTTATTTTGAGGAGAAGCAAGTTTATAACAAAAATCAACTACAAAGAACTGATATAGAAATAGCCGGAAATACCGGGCGCTTTTGCTCGCTAGGGCATTAGCGTTTCGTTATGGAATTGACTTTTTTGAGCGATGTTTTCATCCAAACAGAAAGCAGTTAATGTTAGCATCATTTCAGCACTACTGCTTTCAATAAACTTTATTACTTGTTTTCTGACAGTGTTTTTTGCAATTAGTCTGTATATTATGACATTTTATTGTTTTTCTGGAGGGCACGGTAACGAATCTTGCAATCTGATTGGTTCTTTACCCGGTCAGTATTTTCCTATCTCTGCCCACGGGCCACGGTAACGCTTTCGTGAGTCGCCGAGTACATCTCAACTTTCGTTGTCATTTTTCATAAATATACCTCGTTTTCCGGCTGGGCAGTATTTTAAAGCAAACACGTCGGTCACTACCTCAAGCCGACAAATAACTTATGAATCCTCCCTTTTCTCTCTATCAAATCACTTTGGTTGACAGAAAAATATTGGTTTCAGAATGAATTTGTATAAATAATAGTGTCATTACGTTGGTTGACAAGCGGCCTAAATACCGTCTGCAATTAATTTTAATCGTTCACAAAAAGTACACAGAAAGTTGAAACGTGAGGTATTTGGTTACAGTTAAACTGAACGATGGAACTTTCATTCATTTAATATCTGAATTTTCTCGAGCAATTTGTTCATAGTAAAAAAAAAGCGAGCGAAGTTTTAATTTAAGTTCTACAACAAATATACGCTCCTGGTGAGTCTTTTCAATTCCGTTCAATTTGGACATTTGTACCTTAAATTGCACAACAGAAATTGAAGGAATTGAGAAAAGGCTGCATTAAATTCCCTTGTGTCTCGTTGGAGTGTGCCGTTCGAATTTAGTTTTTGTGAAGGAAAGATCAGAGTTAAACACGCCATTACAGCAAACAAACGAGCAAACTCTCACAACTTCAAAATAAAAAATTGAATTTAATCACAATTACTTTCCTCGCCGTTTACTTAATGAACAGAGGTAAATCTTCGTTCATGAATGAATGGTCGATGAGAGTAAATAATACTTTCCGTTAGATCATTAACTGATTTTTAAGAAAACATTGTCGTGACAGTCCTTGCCAAACTAGTTCTGTTGGTTTTCAAATGTTCCCACGATTTTTTTTTTCTTGCGCGCTCTCTAATTGACAGGTGTCAGATTGTGACAAATACTTGTAAAAATAATGTTTCAAAGTTTGTTTGGAAGCCTTTTAAATCACCTTTATCGTTACGGAAATGAAAATGTTTCGCTGAAGCATCTCTCTTAAATTTGCATCACCTCTATTTTAACTACCATTTACTCACTCAAAAATTGTTCAGTTTATGGAAGATCTTGCCGTATTTACGGCCATAAGTCATTCGGGTTCTTTCGGAAAGAATTTCGTCAAGTTTAAAAACAATAAATATGTTATTTACCGGCTAAGGGTCGGTCCGTATGGTGAAAAACTAAGACCTCGGTCACAGTTTTTCACCATACGGACCTCCCAGCCGGCAAATAACATATATTTATTTTAAGACAACAAAAGGAGACCTGACAATGTGCTTAAGCTGTCAGAGATAAGTTGTCAAAATCCATATTTAGCTATCTTCAATAATTTAGTTTCTTACTGCTCGTGGAAAAGGTTCATATCACCACGAACATCGTACGATTTTCATCAATTAGAATAGAAGTGTACTAGAATGAGTACCCCGTGGTTGCCTCTCTTGTGATCAGTTACCTTCCTTTGATTCATTGACTTCATTGAAGGACTAGAGGCTGTTAACTTAACGGTAAGAGCGGCCGGATTTCAGGCTGATTTGTCAACTGCGATGTGTTTACAAATCAAGAAAATGTATCCAGTACTTTTCTAGAATAAATTGGGAGTGAGTTCTAGTTTTGATGTCGGTTGGGATCACTTGGTATACTGGAAGAAATCATTTTATCCTGCATGGCAAACAAACAAATTGTGAATTATTGCGTTGATCATAACCATTACAAGTTCCTTAAATGTGATTGGTGCATCAGCTGCTTCATTTTTCACTAATCATTCTGTACAGTTGTAATCGGTCAGTGTAATCGGACAGTTGGCTGTAATCGGACACCTATAATCGGATACTTGAAGCAGCCAATCATATTAGGTCCACTCAGCTAAATCTAACAATCACATAATTGATCACAATAACCATAGCAACAACTACTTATCCAAAGAAAAACAAGACAATTTGCCATTCTGATGCTATTTACGTTCCGCCACGAAATCATAAGATTTGAGAAGTAGCCTAAGAATGGGTATCGTAAGTCTTAATTCTGTCCGTGAAGATAAGTTGCTTACAGGTAATGATTGAGTCTTTCTGAAATTACACCCTATCTTTGTCGATCCTTCAGTGTACTCCAGGGTCTGCACTTTCTCCTGCCCATACTCCTTCTCCTGCTACAGATCCTACTCTTACTCCTTCTCTTACTCCATCTCCTGCTGCAGCTTCTACTCCTGTTGATACTCTGCTATAGCTCCTGCTCTTCCTCCTGCTCAACTCCATCTTCAGTCCCCGCTACTAATCTTGCTCCTACATGTGCTCCTGATCCTGCTTGAGTTCGATCTTCAGCTTCTGCTCCTAATCTTGCCTTACCACGCCCCTGATCCTGCTTCAGCTCGAGCTCCTGCTATTTCTTCCGCTACAGCTCCATCTTCGGTCCTGATCCTGCATCAGCTCGAGCTCCTGATCTTTCTCCTGCTCCAGCTCCATCTTCAGTCCCAGCAACTCCCTACCCATGCTCCTGATTCTGCTGTTCTGCTCCTGTCTCTGCCTTCTTTGCTAGTCCGTCAACTATGCTTTCGTTACATTTTTCCTTTTGGTATTTCTTCCCGAAATTTTGATTTCTCATGCGACATGCACCTATAGCTTTGTTTCAAAGCTCATTTTCTAGTTTCCCGATCTTCAATGCATCATTGATTATTCCGCTGCTTGAGGTGAAAAATTGCTTACCTATTTCATTAGTACCATAATATACGGCAACTTTTCTCTCAACACTCCTAACTTGAATTACACTCATACGTATACGTCTTTAGGCTCGTCGAAATATTGCATGACAAGCTAAATCATTTCGGCATAAATCCTGGAATGCATCTCATACGCAGGTTGAATATTCTGGTTTTTTGGCTGTATTTAGAGAGGTGAATACTATTCGTGTAAATTGTAAGTGAAAAAAGATTATTGGTAGAATTTCACGATCGCACTTGTTAATGTTGTGGTTTTTTTTAATGCTTTCCTGCTTTAAAATTCGTGGGGAGGGGCCACGGAGATTTATAGTAAGTAAGACGGGTGAGCAAAAGTGAATTAAATATTGTAACAACAGTAAAATTGGTCCGCAGATGCGTGCTTTAACGCACGAATTAAAATACATGGAGAAACCTTGAAATACATATTTAATAGTGTTTGTCACCATTTAAAACATGGTACTTCGACGAATGATACATACGTCTTGTTCATGAAAGGGAGCAGGAAAAACAAGCACAAGTACGATAGCAAGAATGACAACCTGGTTTTCGGATGCTTGGCTGATCTCTTTCCATCGTAACCATAACAAGAAATGGATTTATTATTATCCTTGTTTGCAGTAAACGGTGGCTTCGAATCGAAACCAACGCTTTTGTCGTTTCTCTTGCATTGGCGGATTTCTGTGTTACACTGGTTATTGTTCCGATTGCCCCATCCACACTAGCGTGTTTACATGACCTTCGATAGCATCAACGTTTTTGCTTTGCATTTTGCCTATCATCCCCAATTAAGCACCCAAAAAACGCGGATTCAAAGGTAAATTTTTGAAAAAAGTTTCAGTGAAGTGTTTTGAAAGTGCATGCACCACTTTTGAAACGTTTCGTTTCTCGTGTGGACGGATGGAGAAGGAGGCTTTTAAAAGCGATGTTGAAGAAATAGGTCAAGTATTGTCGCATGACTGTAAGCGGAAGATTGGTGAAAATGCACCAAAACGTACGAGTTTTCCAAGGAAAATGCAGTATAGAAGGCAGAACAAATCGACAAACACTTATGTAGGTGAAGATGTTTTGCCTCATTTTGGTAGAGACTAAAAATGTTGTGATTAATGTTGTCGCATCAAATTTTACGAAATATTTTATCACGAAGCTCATAACTAAAATTTTACGTGTAACTCACTACAATGTGACCGAACACTAAGTTTGAAAGTGGGGGAAATACGTGTTTTAACCGAATGCGACTGATGATAACTTGTCGCTATATGCAAATAAAACAAAGTGAACTGTCTTTATAAGGAAAGTCTCATTTTTCAATTAGTTATAGCGTGTTGAAAGTCGTGAAACGATGTATGCAACGATTTCACTCCATACCGAAGAATGTAGCGGGTGATTTACTAACTGTTCGATATTTTTGACAGTGAAAAGGCAAAAATAGAACTTTTTCCCCTCTTTTTTTTAGCCATCTATAAAATTAGAAGAGGATAATGTGACTCGCTAAAAATAGATGGCGTGGTAATTTTTGGCCGTTAAACCAGATTGAAGGATTGCTGGGAAGCGGCTGAGTAAAGTTGCACTTTTGAGACTTAGCAATCAACGAAAACAATTTAAAATTGCACGCATTTTGAGGAGAAGCAAGTTTATAGTAAAAATAAACTAAAAAGATATAGAAACAGCCGAAATACAGGTTTTGGTATATGATTGACTCTTTTTGGCGATGTTTTCAAACAAACCAAGAGTAGTTAATGGGCTTTTGTCTATACCTGATACTGGTCGGAATTCTGAGTTTATTTTGTATGCAAAGCGGAACTTTTCTTAAAATTAGAGTCAGTTTTGAAATTGAAATCGTTTAAGCCAGCTGATCACTGAAAGCTAAATGTAAACCTCTCAATCAAGAATATCCTTGAATGTGTTGCGCCGTATAAACATCATGAACACGATCTTTTCATTTTTAAACATTTTACCTACCACAGCGCTCATTCACAAGAGAGAGTATACACTTCGTGGTGTATGACTCGATCGCAACCGGCAGAGACAGCAAACATGCATACCTTTAGAGATTTTTTTTGCCGGGGGCAAGGGCAAGGAAGAACGCTAAATTAAGTGCATTCAAAAGAAAATAATGGAAACATTATAGAGTTCCTTTTTTACAGTAACGAGGAATATGTTGAACTACGACTGATAAACAAGCGCTAACATTCTTTAAGACGAATTTATAACAAAAATTACATTTGATTTTAATTGAAAGAAAGATGGAAGGGGAACGCTGCCCCTTATTTGGCTTTTAACTATTTCTTAACAATCGTTAGCAAAACTCAAGTATACTTTGGAATCCATACCTATTCACAGTGTTTTAGTATTTGCAAAGAGCGCCTAGGTCAATGTTTCGCCCAGTTAACGTATTCATCCTTCAAGGCGGAAATTTACTCTGGGGGAAAAGGATATGTCAATGTTCTTTGACAGTTACTTTATCTCTGGTGTAGGTGATAAATCCCCAAACAAAATTAAAGCATCAAAAACGTCAATGCTGTTAATTTTCTAAAGGCGGATTCAAGGATTGTGATCCTTCCTCAGATGGTTATCACTGGAATAAAACAATTTTTTGCGATGACAAAATGGAAACCTGGTTTTGGATTCTCGGTTGGTCTCTTTCCATCTTAACCATAGCTGGAAATGGATTTATCGTCTTCCTCGTTTGCAGAAGACGGCGGCTTCGAACCAAAACCAACGTATTTGTCGTTTCTCTTGCAGTGGCGGATTTCTGTGTTGGGCTGGTTGCTTTTCTCCCACTTTTCGTCTGCGAGAAGACAACTGGATGCAGCCCCGGCGCTTTTAAAGAAAACAGGGCCGTGGAATTGATAAGGTGGCTTTTTGCGTATGCGTCTGTAACAAACTTGTGCAGTTTAGTCCTGGATCGCTACATAGCTGTTGTGAAGCCTCTCAAGTACCTAACATTCATGACGCGCAAACGTGTTTCTCAGATGATTTTTCTCTCTTGGGCACTTTCAATTTTTGTTATTTTCCCCTTCATTCTAACATGGCTAGCTTTTAACGACAACAGTTCTCTTTTCTTAATTAATTATTGGATAATGATGATTTTCTTCGAGTTCCTGCCATGCTGTGGTCTTATCTTTTGGTTTGGTTCTATGTTACATGTGGTTTATAAGCACGAACAAGCTGCCCGCATTTTAGCAAAACAACTCCGCTTTAATCGTCGATTTTTGTTCAAAAGCGGGGAGAAGTCTGCTGTGAAATTGATGGCCATTGTTATTGGCCTATTTATTACAGTTGTCATAATTGCCTTGCAATGTTTTCTTGTTTCCATCCTGAAGGGCAAAAAATCGTGTAATGATGAAGAATTTAAAACACCTCTTCTCGTTTTAAACTCTGCCATCAACCTTGTTGCTTACGCTCTGTTCAAGAGGGACATAAAGGAGGAGGTAAAACGAAGCATTCGCTGTGTGATCTGAAAGAAGAGAAACAATATTGAATAACTTAATGACTCTAGATTTTTTCCCAATAGATAGCTTTCTACTAGGATCGATCATAACGTAATGCAAGCATTCCCTATTATAGAAAATAATTTTTATAAGCAGGAAACAAGTTATATAGTTTTAGGATTCAAATTATTGAGTAAAGCTCAAAATGAAATGTTATACTCGTGTTTTATTGATATAAAGTTTTATCGCTGGGCATAAAATGCAAATGAATAAGGTCTAGAGATCTCAAACTAGATCTCAATGTCAATTGAGATCAGGTTGTTCGTTTGAAAAATGAGTAATTTTACTTTGTTGAAAAGCTAACTTTAATGAGATGCGTTTAAATTTTCCTAAGGAATAAGACTGAGCAAGAACATAGAAGTTAGAGTAATAAGCTAGTTATCTCTCCATGCTAAGTTAATTTAACAGGTGCAAAAAATTTGGCCTAAATTTGCGCATGTTTTAAAAGTACAAGGAGGACTTAGAATAAAAAATTGACTATCTGAGATGCGCTTGGCAGAGTATGTATATGCTGCGAATGAAGAAAATTAGTACTATTCCGGAATAAATCGCAAATGAGTTCTGATGTTGATGTCTGTTGAGATCAGCTGGTTTACTGGGAGAGATAATTCTATCCTGCATAACAAACAACCCAATTTTGAATTACTGAGTTAATCCTAAACCTTTAAGACTGGACTAGCGCCAAATTTATCTCTTCGGTATCATTGTTAAATCTTGAATCAAACATCAAGGTCTTACTTAAAATGAACAAGGAGAGATACTGAGTCAAACAGATGATGATACGTGAACCGTTAATTTGGAGTATGCAGAACGTGTTTATTTTCAGACTTTATTAATGGTCAAGCGGTGGTGTATACAACGCAAAGCCGGTGAAACACCATTAACGCCGTATGGCTTTTGTCGTTCGCAAACGTGAGTACGATAATTTTAGTTACCTTACGATGATTTGTTTTTTTCTTGGACTCAAAGAAGGAAAAACAATTGAACGAAATGGTTCGCTTAAAATTTTTTTGTGCTGCGAACTGCATTTCTGAGACTTTGAACTATCAAGTTGGACAACCGATATGCGGTTAAAAACACCTTCCGCATTCGTTCCTTGGATGATTTGCCGCTTACTTGTCGTTTTGTCCTAGGAAGATTTTGTTAACAATACCCTACAACACAAATTCAGTAAGGTCTCACGAAGCCAGGTGCTCACTGATAACCAAAAAATTGCCTTGGAAAGCCGCCAGTGGGCTTTTGAGAGAGTTATAAATTTAGTTTTTTTAATCAGTGAAGCTTTTACATTCGAATCAAGTTCGGATTATAAGTAAATCGTTTTTACGTTATTGAACCGTTTTAACTTGTCAAAGGAAGAACTTATCCAGCAAGATTTTCCGTGTATGAATCATGCGTATTTAAGAAATTTTTTTCCGAACGTTTTCATCTCATTGTGATTGATTATGTTGTTAGACATGCACTCATTGTTGTTCAAATTGATTACGTCTGCCAAACTTCAGTAGAAGTACTTTTAGAAGTAGAGTTTTTCGGGTGACAAGAGAAATAACATGCTTCTGGTTATACTGAAATAATATCTGTCATCATTGACTTGGAAATTAAGATAGTCCAATCGATCGTTTTGTCAGTTTATAGCTCAGGTGACTTGGCATAAAAATAAATAATTTCTCCCTACGAAAAGAGACATCCCATTTGCTGTGTTTAGTAGCTGGTCGTAAAGTGTGCAAGCTCAACTGAGAAATATGGAATTACAGGAAGTTGGATTACTGTGTTTTCTTAGCAGCAAGGTAGATGGAGTTTAACAGGACGAAAAACGTTCGGTTTCGAACATGTTATGTACAGAAGGCAAGTCAGAGGCTCGATTAAACACAACTAAGAATATAATCGATTGCCTCGCAAAAACCGCGTGTCGAGAGTACTTTTGATGCAATTTGCAATATCACTCACTCACTCACTCATGCCCATTATGCCGTGTGGCACGTAGGGCGGCTACGAAGGATCGCCACGTCTGTCGGTTCTGGGCCAGCTATGTTCTTACCCATCCTCCTTGATAACTGTTTTACGTGTGTAAAATAGTTCATTTCTCCCTTGAATACCTCTGTTGTCTTTTATCCTAGAAAGTTTTCAAAAGACGCTTTTTGGAAAATTTTCTTAACGTTTTTCCTTTGCGCATCTTTATGTTTTAAAGGGCTGTTTCTTATATGACAAGTAATTGACTTACTCCCAGTGTTTCCAGCTTAGAATTCACTGTTTTCTTTATGTCAGATGACAAACAAGGAGATATTCTCAACTTTGTTCCTCTTTTTTCCCGCAGAGGTCCGAGTACGAGCAAACCGTATGTCTCTGTCATGTTCATTTAACCTTTCTCGCATGGATCTCCCTGTTTCGCCCGCGGTATACACTGTTGGTACGGACCTGTTTCAATTAAGGTTTTCATTTTTTCATGGTAGGTGTTTGTGTCTAGGATACACTAGCGCAGCCTTTTCTGCTGGCAGAATAGTGATAGTGTCGTGTTGTTTTAGATTCTTAAAGGCCTTTTGCATATCCTTCGTGATGTTGGGCTTGGGTGGTTTGGCCTGTTGAAGGATACCGTTTACAGTTCGTCTTACGGTGTCTGCTTGCTTTGAGTCAAGCACTCTTATTGCCGACTAGACTTTGGTGACTATTTCTGTAGCTGGGATGTTGGATGGATTGGTGAAAAATTGTTTACCTATTTCATTAGAACCGTCATGTTCGGCCATTTTTCTCTCAACACTCCTAACTTGAATTACACTCCTACGTATGCGCCTTTAGGCTCGTCGGAATATTGCATGAAACGTCATTTCGGCATAAATGCCTTCCTGGAATGCATCTCATATGCAGGTTGAATATTCTCATTTTTCGGCTGTGTTTAGAGAAGCTAGTAATATTCATGTGAATCGTAACTGAAAAAAAATTACTGGCAGAATAGCACGGTCGCACTTGTTAATGTTAATTTTTTGGTTTTATTGAATTCTATCCTGCTTTAAAATTCGTGGGGAGGGGCCATGGAAGTTTAGACAGGTGAGGAAAAATAAAATAGAGTAGTAGCAATGGTAAAATTGGTCCGCAGATGCGTGCTTTAATGATCTACCGGAAAATACGAGTATGATGCGTCAAGAATATGATTGTAAATTTTCCAAAGTGCTTTTTTATTACTGACGAATTAAAACACATGGAGAAACGTGCAATTTGTGGAAATCCTATTTAGCATAAATTAATATTTTGCCGGCACGTATAAGAGGACTGGGGCGGGTGCAAGGTGCGCGGAGAGTTATGGGATGGTGGTTTGTAGGTAGAGGTCGTTAGTAGGGCAAGGCATTCTACGGTCAGCCTTCGCTGTGTTTAGTTGTTCGTTTTCGTTTTTGTATAAGTTTAGAGCTTTACTTGCATACTACCTTAAGTAACTGTGTATAACATGTCATTCATAGGATACCCTTAAACCCCAAGGGTGGCACCGCTGCCTTAGTTGGGGGTACGCGTTCCCCGTTTTTTCCGCCTGCTGGTTTTTAGGGGTTTTTGTGTCCGGCTTTGATGCATTTAGTTTACTTCAATCGTATAAGACTTTCGTAGGCATATCGATTTGGCGTTAAATAAACGGTGGCTTGGCTGGCCAACGCGCCCAGATATCAACTCTTTGTGTGCCCGGTTGAGTAGTGGAGGCAAAATCCTGAACACACATATGTAAATAGTGTTTGTCACCATTTAAAATATGATACTTCGATTATGATGTCTTATTCATAAAAGGGAGCAGAAAACACAAACACAAATACGATAGCAAGAATAGCAACCTGGTTTTGGATGCTTGGCTGATCTCTTTCCATCCTAACCATAACTAGAAATGGATTTATTATCTTCTTCGTTTACAGCAGACGATGGCTTCGAACCAAAACCAACGCGTTTGTCGTTTCTCCTCACCAAATCAATACAATATCAAACAGAAAGGTGATGAACATAAGAGAAAATATCAGCTAGGGGAGTATTAGTTGATTCAATACCAAATTCTCAGAACTGACATCATATGAGTTGTATGGCAAACAGTAAGGAGAATTGCTAATGAGATCTTGAGAGGGACATAAGGAAGGAGGTAAAAAGAGTTGTTAGATATAGAGAGAAACTCAGTTTTGAAAAGGCCTCGTCCACACTAGCGTGCTTACCTGACGTTCGATAATGTCTACTTTTTCCTTTCACCAAAACACCAAAAAACGCAGATGCAAAGTAGATATTCGGAAAAGATTACACTGGTAGAGTATTTTGAAAATGCACCACGTTTGAAATGTTCCGTTTTCTGTGTGGACAGATGGAGAAGGAAGCTTTTAAAAAAGATGGCAAAGAAGTAGGTCAGATATTGTCGGGTGATTCTAAGCGGAAGATTGGTGAAAATGCATCAAAACGTTGGAGTTTTCAAAAGATAATGCAGTATAGAAGGCAGGTGAGAAAAAATCGATAAACACTTGCGTAGGTGAAGATGCTTTGCCTCGTTTAGGTAGAGTCTAAAAACGTTGTGATCAGTGTTGTCGCGACAGATTTTACGAAATATTTTATCATCAAGCTCACAACTATAATTTAAAGTCTAACTCACTATAAAGTGACCGAACACTAAGTTTAAAAGAGGAGAAGAGACTTTTTTAGCCAAATGCGACTGATGATAACTTGTCGCTATATGCAAATAAAACAAAGTGAACTGTCTTCATAGGAAGTTTCATCTTTCAATTAGTTAGCGTGTTGAAAGTAGTGAAACGAGGTATGCAACGATTTTACTCCATATCGAAGAATGTAGCGGGTGATTTATTAACTGTTCGATGTTTTTGACAGTGGAAAGGCAAAAATGGAACTTTTCCCCTCTTTCTTTAGCCATCTATAAAATTGAAGGAGGAAAATATGACTCGCTAAAAATAGATAAGGTGGTTGAAGAATTGTTAAGAAGCGGCTGAATAAATTGCATTTTTGAGACTTAGCAATCAGCGAAAATACTATGAAATTACAATTATTTTGAGGAGAAGCAAGTTTATAACAAAAATCAACTACAAAAAACTAATATAGAAATAGCCGGAAATACCGGGCGCTTTTGCTCGCTAGGGCATTAGCGTCTCGTTATGGAATTGACTTTTTTAAGCGATGTTTTAATCCAAACAGAAAGCAGTTAATGTTAGCATCATTTCACCACTACTGCTTTCAATAAACTTTATTACTTTTTTTCTGACAGTGTTTTTTACAATTAGTCTGTATATTATGACATTTTATTTTAAGACAACAAAAGGAGACCTGACAATGTGCTGAAGCTGTCAGAGATATGTTGTCAAAATCCATATTTAGCTATCTTCAATAATTCAGTTTCTTACTGCTCGTGGAAAAGGTTCATATCACCACGAACATCGTGCGATTTTCATCAATTAGAATAGAAGGGTACTAGAATGAGTACCCCGTGGATGCCTCTCTTGTGATCAGTTACCTTCCTTTGATTCATTGACTTCATTGAAGGACTAGAGGCTGTTAACTTAACGGTAAGAGCGGCCGGATTTCAGTCTGATTTGTCAACTGCAATGTGTTTGGGGGAGACGACATCATAAAATCACCGAAGTGTTTTCCAATGCTATTTAGTTGCATAGGGAATTGTAGTCTTGTAGTCCAAAACCAAACTTTATACTTTCAGCTTTCATTTGTATTGGGCTGGCCACCTGAAGACCACAAAATGGAAACGTGGTTTTGGATTCTTGGCTGGTCTCTTTCCATCCTGTCCATGACTGGAAATGGCATTATTATTTTCCTTGTTTGCAGAAGGAGGCGGCTTCGAAACAAAACCAACGCGTTTGTCGTTTCTCTCGCAGTGGCAGACTTCTGTGTTGGCTGGAGTAATTTTCCATCGCTTTTCGTCTGCGAGGAGATAACCGGATGCGACCCTACGGCCTCCATAGCCAGCGGGGTGGATTATTTCAGGTGGCTGTTTTCATATGCGTCTGTGACAAACTTGTGCAGTTTAGTCCTGGATCGCTACATTGCTATTGTGAGGCCGTTAAGTTACTTGACTTTTATGACACGCAGAAGCGTTTTCCAGATGATTTTCATGTCTTGGACCATTCCAGTTGTTGTCGTCTTTGTGTTTTTACTAAACTGGCTTGTTTTTGAACAGATTGTGTTGTTTAAAGTGCTCATCTCAATTTTAATGGTATTTTTAGAAATCTTGCCGTCTTGTGTGTTAATTTTCTGCTTTGGATCAATGTACTATGTTGTTTATAAGCACGAAAGAGCCGCCCGCATCTTAGCAAACCAACTCCGCTTTAACCAAAGATCTTTGTTCAGAATCAAGGAAAAGGCTGCCGTGAAAATAATGGCAATTGTTATTGGTATATTCCTTCTCGCCTACTCATTCGCTATACGATGTAGCTTCATACACATTTTGAAAGACGGAAAACTGTGTGATGATAAAGAATATAAAATTCCCCTTGTTATATTAAACTCCGTTGTTAACCCCTTCGCTTATGCCGTCTTCAAGAGAGACATAAACATGGAGATAAAACGATATGTTTGCTGCGTCATTTGTAAAAAGAAACACCACAGTGATCCAATTTATGAAAACAACTCTTTCATCCTGCGCAACTACAATATTTAACGCGTCAAACCAGAGCAGCATACCCTGAATAAACTCCTAATCAACCAGAATTTGTCTTGAACTATTAATATTTGTTCTGCGATCGGGTTAACAGTCAATAACTTAAGTATGAAATTATAATTAAGAATTTGCTTATGGTGTGTGCATGATGACAAGAGTAGATCATAACAATAAAAAAGGATCCTGTTAATCTCATCAAGTTTTATCGATTCTCGTTCCTTTTGGTTCATTTTTAACTGTTAAGGTTACTTTTGTCTAATTTTGCCAGTCTGTTTCATTTTATAGGTTTGCAAATCAGTCTGTCAGTCAGCCAGTCAGTTTGTCAATCGGCCAGTCAGTTTGTCAATCGGCCAGTCAGTTTTCAGTCATTTCGTAAGTTACCTAGTCCATCAGTCAACTAAGTCTGTCAGTCAGTCAGTTGTCAGTCTCTCAGTCCTTCAGACAGTCAGTCAGTCAGTTTTCAGTACGTCTTTCAGTCAATAAGACAGTCAGTTTGAAGTCAATTGTCGGGGCAATCAGTTGATCAGTATTAGTCAGTGTTAAGTCATTTAATTGGTCAGCGTATTCAGTCACCCAGTAAGTCAGTCAATCAGTTGATCAGTAAGTCAGTGTTCAGTCATTTAGCTAGTTGGTCAGCATATTCTGTCAGCTAGTCAGTCAGTCAGTCGGTCAGTCAATCAGGGTATTCAGTCGGTCATCCGATCATTCAGTCGGTCATTCGATCATTCAGTCGATCAGGGTATTCAGTCGTTCATCCAATCGTTCAGTCGGTCATCCGATCATTCAGTCGGTCATCCGATCATTCAGTCGGTCATCCGATCATTCAGTCGATCAGGGTATTCAGTCAGTCATCCGATCATTCAGCCGGCCATTCTATCATTGAGTCGGTCATTCAATTATTTAGTTGGTCATCCGATCATTGAGTCGGTCATCCGGCGATCATTGGGTCGGTTATCCGATCATTCAGTCAATCATTCGATCATTCAGTCGGTCATTCGATCATTCAGTCAATCATCCGATCATTCAGTCGATCAGGGTATTCAGTCGGTCATCCGATCATTTAGTCGATCAGGGTATTCAGTCGGTCATCCGATCATTCAGTCGATTATCCGGCGATCATAAAGCCGGTCATTCGATCATTCAGCCAATCATTAAATCACTCAGTCGGTCATCCGATCATTGAGTTGGTCATAAGATCATTCAGTCGGTCAGAGTATTAAGCCAGCCACTCAGTCAGTCCTTAGTCTGAGCATTCAGCTTCTCAGTCAATCGGTCATTCAATCAGTCAATTGGTCGGTGAATTCAGCCAATCAGTCAGTCAGCCATTCAATCGGTTAATCAGTCAGATAATTCACCCAGTCAGTCGGTAGGTCAGTCAGTCAGTCATACAATCAGTCTGTCGGTCAGAGTAGTGAAAGAAGAACGGCTATTTCGCGACGTAGATAAACGAAGTCAGCAAGCACTGCAATAAGCGATGAAAAAGTGAGTTTTCTTGAAAGTGAAGGTTTCCTTAGGCTTTGACTACTTAAATGGACCATTTCCCGCTTTCTTGTCGTTTGATTTTTTAGGATAATCTTGTTAACGATAACCTACACGACATAACAGTTTATAATCTCTTGAACAGTACCCTACTAATTCAGGCGGGTCTCATAGAGCCAGGCGTTCACTGATAATCGAAAAGTTAATTTGGTTTTCAAACGAATAATATGTTAATCCTGTTTAAGTTTCGAGCCGTTAAAGAATGAAGTCACAGATTTTCCTTGAACGAGTCTTGTCTACTTAAGAAATGAAATTTTATGCAGAACATTTTCATCTATTACGCTCGATTATATTGTTAGACATGCACCCACTGTTATACCACAGGCAGCCCAAGCTCCAGCTGTGAGATGATCATCTTGCGCAATAACAGTTAATGCGGAATTATAAGAGTTTTTATGGGAATATTTACGACCGCTCTAAGGAATAAAACAAACATAGGAAACAAAGGAAACTAATCATAGGAGAGGCACGTCGGAGGGGAAACACCCGTGTGTGCATCTTCCTTCCTTTAGTTCATTGAGTTACCAAATCTGGAATGGAGGATTGTGGGTTGACCTAACACTAACAGCGGCAAGAATTCAGCCTGATTAATCAATTGTGACGTATTTTTGAGGGACCTCCGAACAAGAGAAAATCACCAGATATTTTCAACGTTTGTTCTTACATTAGTTCAAGTCCTCAGCGAAAGTATATCCTCACAGCTTTCCACTCAACAACCACAAAATGGAAACTTGGTTTTCGATTCTTGGCTGGTCTCTGTCCATTCTGACCATAACTGGAAATGGATTTATCATCTGCCTCGTTAGCAGAAGACGGCGGCTTCGCAAAACCAACGCATTTATAATTTCTCTTGCAGCGGCGGACTTCTGTGTTGGGCTCAGTACTTTTCCCCCGCTTTTCGTCTGCGAAGAGATAATTGGATGTAACCCAAAGGCCTTCTTAGAGAGCGGGATGGATTATCTAAGATGGCTCTTTGGGTACGCTTCGGTTACAAACTTGTGCGGTTTAGTCCTGGAGCGCTACGTTGCTGTTGTGAAGCCGTTAAGTTACTTGACTTTTATGACGCGCAAACGCGTTCTCCAAATGTTTGTTATCTCTTGGACCATTCCAGTTATTTTGGTCTTGGCTTTTTTACTAAACGGGCTTGTTTTTAAAGAGATTCTGCTGTTTAAAGTGCTGACACTGATTACCATTGTTTTTCTAGAATTCTTACCGTGTTCCGGTCTAATTTTTTGCTTTGCATCAATGTATTATTTTGTTTACAAGCACGAAAGGGCCGCTCGCATCTTGGCAAAACAACTCCGCTATAACCAAAGATTTTTGCTCAGAATCAAGGAAAAGGCTGCTGTGAAAATAATGGAAATTGTGATTGGTTTGTTTCTTGTAACTTACTCGTTCGCTTTGCGATGTAGCTTTATTTACATTTTGAATGACGACGAAAAACCGTGTGATGGTCAGGAATATAAAATACCCCTTCTTGTATTAAACTCCGTCGTCAACCCCTTCGCTTATGCCGTCTTCAAGAGAGACATAAACATGGAGATGACACGATATATTTGCTGTGTCGTGTGTAAAAAAAGAAACCGCACAGAGCCAATTGATGAAAACAACTCTTTCATCCTACGCAGCTGTAATGCTTAACATGTCAATCCAAAAATTCAAAACTTGGACAAACGTCTTCTCGACTGTCTTCAGCTATGCACCACGAGTTAAAAGTCCATAAGTAAGATTAGGATTTTGCTGACGGAGTATGCATGATGAGGAGAGTAGATCATACCTTTCATATTAATGTCTAAAAAGAATTCTTTTCATCTCATCAATCCTTACCAATTCGTATTTCTTTTTGTATATTTTCAATTGTTACGGTTAGTTTTTTTCTACTTCTGCTAATTGGTCTGTTTCATTTTATAATTTTGCAAACCATTCTGTCCGTCAGTCAGTTTGTCTCTCAATCTGTCAATAAGTTAGTCAGTGAGACATTCAGTCCGTCAATCAGTCAGTCAGTCTGTCAGTCAGTTAGTAAGTCAGTTGATCAGTTAGTCGGTCAGTCACTTAGTCAGTCAATCAATCAGTTTTCATTTAGTCCGTCAGTCACCCTATCCGTCAGTCCTTCACTTAGTCGGTCGGTCAGTCAGTCAGTCAGTTATTTAATCAGTCAGTCACTCAATTAGTCAGTCACTCAGTCAATCAGTCAGTTTTCAGTCGGTCCGTCAGTCCGTGAGTTAGTCTGTATGTCAGTCACTTAGTCTGTCATTCAGTCAGTCAGTTCATCTGTCCTTCCGTCAGTCCGTCCGTCCGTCCATCCGTCCGTCCATCCGTCCGTCCGTCCCCCGTTCCACCGTCCGTCCGTCCGTCCGTCCGTCCGTCCATCCGTCCGTCCGTCCGTCCGTCCGTCCGTCCGTCCCTCCATCCGTCCATCCGTCCGCTAGTCAGTAAGTCAGTCACTCAGATCTAATTCATACCGTCAGTCAATCATTCAGTCGGTCAGGGTAGTCAGTAATTTAGTTATTAAGCCAGTTTTCAATATACAACTGAATAAAGGGAGTGAAGATTTTAAAGAAACTGTGGTGCTTCGTCAATGTCGGGTATAAAAAGATATATGATATCGTTTTATCAAGTTTCTTGACAAATATTGTGTCCGAAATTATTTCTTCGCCATTGTGGCTTTGTTGAAGGCAAATCTAACTTCGATTGTGTTTTTCTAAGATTAAAAGAGTAAACAGTTATTTCGTGGTCAGTAAGCACTGTAATACGCCCATGAAAAAGTGAGTTTTCATCAAAGGGGAAGTTTCCTTTAGCTTTGATTACTTAAAAAGAAAACGGGGAGATACTTAGTCAAACAGATATCCTACCTGATGCGTAAACAGTTAATTCAGAGTGTGCAGAATGTGTTTATTTGACTCAATTAATGTTTAAGCCGATTTAGGCGGCGTATACAAAAGAAAGCGGCTGAAACACAGTACGAATGCCATATGGTTTTTGTCGTTCGCAAACGTGAGAACGATTATTTTACTTTTAAGTAAAGACAGATCATCGTAAGTTAAAACTTACGATGATCTGTCTTTTTTCTTGGACTCAAAGAAGGAAAAGTAATCGAAATAAATGGTTGGCTTAAAAAATTTTGTCCTGTGCTGTGAACTGCATTTCTGATCAAGTTGAACAACAGATATGGGGTTGAAGACACCTTCCTGATTCGTTCGTTGGATCATTTGTCGCTTACTTGTCGTTTGTTCTTAGGAATATGTTGATAACATTACCCTACTATGCAAATTCAGAAAGGTCTCACGAAGCCAGGTGTTCACTGATAGCCCAAAAATTGCCTTGGAAAACTGCCGATGGACTTTTGAGAGAGTTTAAACATATCTATTTTTCTAAATTGGTGAAGCTTTTGCATTTGAATTAAGTTCGGATTATAAGTACATCGCTTTTACGTTATCGTACCGTTTTCACTTTTCAAAGGATGAACATATCTGGCAAGATTTTCCGTGCATGAATCATGCATATTCAAGGTTTTTTTCCGAACATTTTCATCTCATTGTGATTGATTATGTTGTTGGACATGAACTCATCGTTGCACAAATCAATTACGTCAGCCAAACTTCAATAAAAGCACTTTTAAAAGTATAATTTTTCGGATGACAAGGTAAATAAGATGCTTCTGGTTATACTGAAATTATATCTACCATTATTGACTTGCAAATTAAGATAGTCCAATCGATCGTTTTGTCAGTTTAGCTCAGGTAAGAGAAAATAAAGTAACAATTATATTCCCCTGATTGTTTGCGAGAACTCGTCTACGGGACCTCGCAGTTACTAAAACAAAAACAAAACAGGTCCGCTTCACGTTAGGGAGGTTCCAAGGTTTGCATTTGGTTCCTAGACATATAAATGAAAGTCAACATGATTGTAATTATTCACAGGAATATTCTTTTTATAGTGCGGTTTTGATATGTAACTTTTAAACTAAATATATATGTAACTTTTAAACTATAAATTTTTCTGCGAATCCTCTTCTAATTAAGGGTATGATGATTGATGTAACGCAAATATTCCCATCCTGCTGCTAAAAGACTTATAAACATTCAAAAACAAGAGAATATGATTGATATGATTGATTGACTTAAGGTGAGTATTCGAATGAAGAGGCAAACATTTAGACACTTGTTTCTATATTGAGCGGTTACAATTTTTAAACACTCGTTTAAAACTAGAACATTGGAAACTACAACGACAGATGATATCAAGATCGTTATCCGCGTTATCATGCGACGTGTGAATAAGAATAACTTCCCAGCGTGGTGCGAAATTTAAAATGGACTTAAAAAAACCATCATGGGTCACAGGGATAGGTTAGCACAGTTGATATTCTCTTGCTTAAAAGTGAATCGTAAAATTACCAACGATTAGCTCTGGCAGTAGAAATTTTACAGACGTTAGACGAATTCAAGTGTTTTTTTGAAATGGGAGAAAGCTAAGAACTCTTCTTAGACACCATCATATTGAAGAATTTTTGTTAATAAGTTGTGAGTAGATATTTACTTTCAAACAAAATTAAGGTTTTTAGCCGGCTGCTGTTATATGCTAGCACATAAGGTGGACTCGTTGTATGTGATTAGGACGCCAAATTTAGCGAAAACATGAGTTTAATTTTCCATAACAGTTCTCTTCCAAATAGATCTTGAGGAACACTTTCTCCACCTGTATTTGATCATGATAGCAGGAGTAAAAGATGTTGGTGTCCATTATACGCAACCAAAGTCCTCCTCACACTAAAGATCTTTTGTCCCTGAAACCAGGGACTAGTTATGCTCTTCGCTCGTCTGCTCAATTTCTTCTGTTCGTTCCAAAAGCCAACTGCTCTTCACTTGGGGATCGGGCCTTTGCTCATGCTGCACCTGTTTTATGGAACTCGCTGCCATTAACTATAAGAACAAGTAGTAGCCTCGCCATTTTTAAAAAGCAACTTAAAACATTTCTATTTAGGAAAGCTTTTAGTTTGTTTCAATAGTTCTAATGTTTATTGCCTTTGAATATTTTAATTTTAATTATTATAGAACTTTAACTTATGTAAAACGCTTCTGAATATTGTTTATAGTTTTAGCGCTATATAATTTCCTTATCATTATCATTATCATTATACGAAGAATAACTTATGATTGTTTATCCATGACAAGTCTCTGGAAGGTTATAGGAGTAAAACTACTTATATTACAAAATATAACCTTGTTTTTGGATTCACAATGATATTTCAAGACAGAGCTGTTATGATGAAATCATTTCAGATTAAGTCATCAAAATTGTTCATTCCAACTTATGTTGAAGCCGAGACCATGTAGTATTGATAATTAACGCCATACACTTTTTCCAAAAAAAGGAAGTTGCGTTTCAACGAAATTATATTTTCAGAACAGGAACAGTGTCTCCACTGTTATTAAGGAGCCTAACATATGGCGTCATGATGGCTCTCCGATATACACTTATATAGGGGAAAATTCATAAATATGAAATCAACAGCTGCCTCAGGGACTACGATCTTTCTTCAGTTGTTTCTCGTACGATTCTTGACAATATATCTGTGTAATCATTTTAAAAATTAACTCTAAGGCAGATAACAAAATGGAAACTTGGTTTTGGATTCTTGGCTGGTCTCTCTCCATTCTGACCATAGGTGGAAATGGATCTATTATCTTCATTGTTTGTAGCAGACGGCGGCTCCGAACCAAAACCAACGCGTTCATCGTTTCTCTTGCGGTGGCGGATTTCTTTGTTGGAGTGAGCACTTTCCCTTCATTGTTCTTCTGCCCGGAAGAAGGTGATTGCAACAGGTTATCTCACGATTTGAGGAACTTATTCCCATTCGCCTCAGTGGTAAACCTATGTACTTTAGTCCTGGAGCGTTATGTTGCTGTCGTAATGCCTTTCAAATATTTGACTTTTATGAAACGTCGCCGCGTTTTCCTGGTGATTTTCATCTCTTGGGCGATTCCAGTTATAACTACTTTGGCTTTTTTCAGAATGAATTGGCTTTGTCCAAGCCACCGTCTACTTTTTGAAATATTTACTTCGCTGAATATATTTTTTTTGGCTTTTCTGCCATGCTGTGGTCTGGTCTTTTGCTTCGCTTCAATGCTAATTGTTGTTAACAAGCACGAACGAGCAGCTCGTGTCTTAGCAAAGCAGCTCCATTTTAATCATCGATTTCTGTTCAAAATCCAGGAGAAATCTGCAGTTAAAATGATGGCAATTGTTATAGGAATTTTCCTTCTGGCGAACACATTTGCTTTACGATGTGGTTATATATTATTATTCAAAACAGGAAAAACATGTGATGATGAAGAATATAAAATACCCCTCCTTGTTTTAAACTCTGCTATTAACCCCATTGCGTACGCCTTCTACAAGCGGGATATAAAGAAGGAGATGAAAAAATGTATTTTCCGCGTCATCTAGGCAAAGTGATTCAACTTTTTCAGCTAATTCAAGAAATTCGCAAAATTGGTTTTTAAGCTTTCATTAATGGTTTGTCAATAGGCGTTGATAATTATGGAACGAAACAAAATTGTATTCCAAGATCACCTTTTGGTTTTTGTCTCTTGAACGAGGCTGCCTTTATTCTCCAATTTATTGCTTGACATCCTAGTGATCTTTTACCTCATTCGAGTTTGATTACCTGTTCGTGTGAATCTGAAGGTACCTTTAAAATTCTTAACCGCACAAGCGTATGCTGTGAAGAGTTTGAAATTCATTCGTAGCAATGACACTTGCAGTCGGTGTTAAGACAATCTTGGCGCCCATGCTGCGCATTAGCGTGAGATGGAAAAGCAAGACGAAAATAGTGGTCGGAGTTAATGTTCTAGCCTTTCCCTCACTTAAAGGAATTGACGTCATTTGGCTGGGAGATGAAAAGAAGGAAAATGCGTCATAGGGAACCAAAACATTTACGACGTGGTGTGGGCATTTGAAAGTCACAACTTTCAATCTTTTAAACGTGGCGTGAAAAAAAATAGAATACGTGTTTATTCACTCGCTTGTGATTGGGACGCATCCCAAAAAATAGAAATGTTATTAAAAATGTTTAGAATAAAAACGCTAAAGAAAACATATTTGTGTATTGATTGCTCGGAAAATATGTGGTTAGCTACTGAAGAACTCTCTCCCGAGTACCATGGTAAAAAGCGCTTCATATTTCACTGCTGAATGAACATGTCATCCAAAGGAAACACAGCATAAACTGAGAACACCATTAGGCCAGGATTGTGTATCTTTATTATTTTGCGCAAGATTAGTCCTTCGAAACGAAATTTCAATCGCATTTATTTCGAAAGCAGCATGTTTTCCAATTGTCAAATTTTGCAAATAAGCGACTTAAACAATAATATTTAATATGTGAGAAAATAAAAGCATTCCCAAAAGGTCAAGTTGGCCTCCGGTACCGCCTCATGAGTAAGTCAGAGAAAGTATAAGAAAGGAGGAGGAGGCGGGGGGGAGGTTTGGTGTTACATGAAACTTTAACCAATGTAAATGGCAGGTAATTTTAACACCAACTTGACCAGAGTATTCTGGTTTATTTAGTGTTATTGCCAAATCGTTTAAAGAAATTCGTTGAGTAAAACATACATATGACGCAGCTTCAACGCCTTTAGTTTAACTACAGACAAATTTGTGCTCCTATCGGGTTTTCTGATGCTCCCTCCTCCTCTAAAGAAAAGAGATGTTATTCGTACCAAACTATGAAGAAAGGTATGAATATATTTAATTGAGCCGTGAAAAATTGTGCTTTCTACGTGGCAAGTGTATAAAGGCCCGGCCAGACGCAACATCGTTGCGCGCCTTGTGTTGCATACGTTTGGATCAAGTTTAAAAAATGGTCACATTTTTGTTGCAGCATATTCTGATGTTGCAAGATGTTGCGTGCGTATGGCCAGTTCCTTCACAAAATCTCTCAACAATATTGCAAGATGTTGCACTTAAATGTTTTCTAGACGTAATGGACGGTTAAAATTTAACTCTTTTTCAAACATATTTAATCAATATACTAAGGATGTTCAAAGAAAAGAAAACATTAAAAATACTTAACTTCAGTAGCTGAGTACTGAAAAGAAAGTTTTTCTGTTCTCGACAATGTGAATAACTTATTCCGAGCCACATTTTTAATCAGAAGTTCTGGTACTTGTTTGACTGCGTTAAAGCTGCATTCAGGTGGTTTTCAGTAAGGAATAATTTTGCCCTGAACAAGTCAGTGTTTGAGTTCGTGTCCACGTTTTCCGATGAAATCAGCCACAGTAAGAACAGAGAGTTCTAAAATCTGCTAGTTTTCTTAACGTTATGGGTGAAGCAATAAAAAGGGGCAGAGGGGTTTTGTATTAAAAATTTACATACTTAAACAACAGCTGATTTAAAACACCAACGCGCCGGACTAAGATATAATTTAGTGAGTATAACATGGTTTGACACAAATTTCAGTTCTCGGAAAACAAATAAGCACTTTTATTAACAGGCTAATAACAAGTGTTAGTAAAAATGTTCCGTAGTCAAGGAACCACCACGCCGAGTGGTCCATTAGTTCGTTTTTGAAAGTTATCTTCTTTATATTCACTTGAGTAAAGTCGCTCAAAAACCCCTTGATGGAAACCTGGTTCTGGATTCTTGACTGGTCTTTTTTCATCGCAACCATAGCTGGAAATGGATTTATCGTCTTCCTTATTTGCAGACGATGGCGGCTTCGAACTAAAACCAACGCTTTTGTCGTTTCACTCGCTGTGGCAGATTTCTGTGTTGAGCTGAGTGCTTTTCCCCACTTTTAAATTGTGAGAAGACAACTGGATGCGATCATGAAGCCCCTTTTGCCGACAGGGTGGATTATCTAAGGTGGCTGTTCGCATATGCGTCTGTAACAAACTTATGTAGTTTAGTTCTGGCTCGTTACATCGCCGTTGTGAAGCTTCTCAAATACTTCTTGTTCATGACGCGCAAACGTGTTTCTCAGATGATTTTTATTTCCTGGGCACTTTTAACCCTTATTTTTTCGATGTTCTAATGTCGTTCGTTTTTAAAGACAATCGTTCTCTTTTCTTGGCTATTGTTATTGGCCTGTTCCTTGTTTATTCTGCATGCTATCTGCGATGTAGTCTTATATACATAATGAAGGACGAACAACCATGTAATGATAAAAAATTCAAATTCCCTCTGTTAGTTTTAAACTCTGCCAGCAACCAGTTGCTTGCGCTCTGTTTAAGAGGGACATAAAAGAGGAAGCAAAACGATGCATTTGCTGTGTGATCTGAAAGAAGAGAAACAACATTGAACCACTTAAGGTTACTTTTGTCTAATTTTGCCAGTCTGTTTCATTTTATAGGTTTGCAAATCAGTCTGTCAGTCAGCCAGTCAGTTTTCAGTCATTTCGTAAGTTACCATGTCCATCAGTCTACTAAGTCTGTCAGTCAGTCGGCGTTCAGTCTCTCAGTCCTTCAGACAGTCAGTCAGTCAGCTTTCAGAACGTCTTTCAGTCAATAAGACAGTCAGTTTGAAGTCAATTGTCGGGGCAATCAGTTGATCAGTATTAGTCAGTGTTAAGTCATTTAATTGGTCAGCGTATTCAGTCAACTAGTAAGCCAGTCAATCAGTTGATCAGTTGGTCAGTGTTCAGTCATTTAGCTAGTTGTTCAGCATATTCAGTCAGCTAGTCAGTCAGACGGTCTGTCAGTCAATCAGGGTATTCAGTCGGTCATCTGATCATTCAATCGGTCATCCGATCATTCAGTCGGTCATCGATCATTTAGCCGGTCATCCTATCATTCAGTCGATCAGGGTATTCAGTCGTTCATCCGATCATTCAGCCGGCAATTCTATCATTGAGTCCGTCATTCAATTATTTAGTTAGTCATCCGATCATTGAGTCCGTCATCCAATCATTCAGTCGGTCATTCGGCGATCATTCAGTCGGTCATCCGGCGATCATTCGGTCGGTCATCCGATCATTCAGTCAATCATCAGATCATTCAGTCGGTCATTCGATCATTCAGTCAATCATTCGATCATTCAGTCGGTCATCCGATCATTCAGCCGGCCATTCTATCATTCAGTCGGTCATCCAATCATTCAGTTGGTCATCCGATCATTAAATCGGTCATCCAATCATTCAGTCGATCATCCGGCGATCATCCAGCCGGTCATCCGATCATTCAGTCAATCATGCAATCATTCAGTCGGTCAGAGTATTAAGCCAGCCATTCAGTCAGTCCTTAGTCTGTGCATTCAGCCCCTCAGTCAATCGGTCATTCAGTCGGTCAATTGGTCGGTGAATTCAGCCAATCAGTCAGTCAGCCATTCAATCGGTTAATCAGTCAGAGAATTCACCCAGTCAGTCAGTCAGTCAGTCAGTCAGGCAGTCAGTCAGTCATACAATCAGTCTGTCGGTCAGAGTAGTGAAAGAAGAACGGCTATTTCGCGACGTAAATAAAATAATTAAGCAAGCATTGCAATATGCGATGAAAAAGTGAGTTTTCTTCAAAGGGAAACTTTCCTTAGGCTATTACTACTTAAATGGACCATTTCCCGCTTTGTGGTCGTTTGATTTTAGGATAATCTTGTCAACGGTACCCAACGCGACTACTAATTCAGGCGGGTCTCATAGAGCCAGGCGTTCACTGATAATTGAAAAGTTAATTTGGTTTTCAAACGAATGATATGTTAATCCTGTTTAAGTTTCGAGCCGTTAAAGAATAAAGTCACAGATTTTCCTTCAACGAGTCTTGTCTACTTAAGAAATGAAATTTTATGCTGAACATTTTCATCTATTACGCTCGATTATATTGTTAGACATACACTCACTGTTGTACTAAAGAATTAAAAAACGCGCCGAGTGCATTGTTGAGTTATTTAAGCACGCGGGATTCTTAAGAACACGAGAGAAGTGCGGAGAAACACGAGCCTTCGGCTCGTGCTTCTGGCACTGTAACATAAAACGGGACGTTGGATTAAAGACAACCGCCAAACATTTCAAGTATAAGATTCGATTCACTGACACACCAAACCGCTGTAAATAGAGAAAATTTATGTTTCTCTCAGGATGTACTATGTTTTTTCACCCCTCTATAATTGTTTTGCGAGCGTATAATGGTTATTTATCGACTGCCCATGAAAACTTTTTAAATGACGCATTTTGTGACCTGCTAAAGCTTTAAAATAACGGATTCTTTTCCTGTGTAGATCATTAAGCCATCAAGGGTTGTTTTTAACATGAGAAGTAATAAACTTCCTCCTGATATTTCCAGCTTTGCATTCATTGTTTACCTCACATGCAGATGACAACGATGATAAATTTTCGATTTTCGTAATATTGTATTTCATAATCACCTCGCTAGTGTTTGTCTCTAAAATGAGGCTACCTTTATTCTCCAATTTGTCGTTTAACGCCATGGTTATTTTTCCATCTTGAACTGTTCCTGTCCCCTTTACGTCTAAGTTTAACCGCTTGGCGGTTGTTCATTAGTTTTGGAAAAGTAGAGTTAGGTTAAGAAAGATTTTTTGAGTTAGATTGTTTTGAAAAATGAATGCTACTTTGGTGAACTTTAATTAGCTGTTTTTCCATTTTTCAAGAAACAAGACTGAGCAACAACATAGTTTTTAAAGGAATGAGCTAATTATCTCTTCATGCTAAATGACTCCGGTAAAATTCAACGGGTGGAAAAACTTTGCCTCAATTTAAATTTGCGCATGTTTTTAAAAGTGCAAG